TTCGTGTTCATCCTGCTTTATTTTAAATCAATTAAAATTGATACGGCGAGAGAGAAGTAAATACTTTTGATGTTATGTTAGAAATGAAAGGAATTGCACTTTATAATGCATCAAAAAAGCAGTCTCTGTTTTGCCCAGACGTATTTTTCGACATATTCACCAATCTTTCTTCGGATTTGAAACGTTCGGTATACATTGCACGAGGGTTCAAACACGTGTTAATTGACCACAATAATGAAAGCAATTCGGGTAAATACAGACATTGCAAAAGCTTTGGTGATGAAATTAGAACCATTTTGGAATGAATGCAGAGACCTCCATGAGTTGAACGAGTTAGAACATGGGTGGCCAAGCCGAGAGATTGTATTTCGGTAAGAATTAACGGAAATTCTTTGCAGAATTCACTAACCATTTTTTAACCATTTTAGCCCAAAATCTTCATCCTTGCTTCGACCAAGTATCTAAGTGACTTCAAGGATGGTCTGATAGAGGAAAATCAGATTTTTTAAGAACCACAAGAGAACTGATTTATCCATGCATTCCACTACTAAGATCAGCTGACCGACTAGATTCCAATCTTTATTATGGACATGAAGCCTTTTGATCAGTTTGTCTCCAAAAGCTACTCTCACGTGCCGCGGACCGCAAGTTTTACCGCTCAAGGCCTGCCATAACCTCAATTCGGCCTCAGCCACGTTAATCACCACCACAGATGCCGCTCGTAATCACGCCTTTCCAGCGTCCATTCATCGATGAGAAATCGGTGTCATTTTCACTCGGAATTGAATATTCTATGGGATTGGTGTCTATTTATTATCTATGCAAATTCTCCCGACTTACATATTCATACGTTTTTTGCTCTTACTCAAAAACTGCTCGTGTTGACGTTACTTCAATTTTCAACTTTTTAAAAGCAGTTGTCATCTTATTAAGCCCGAATTTGTAAAAGAAAAGCATGGGAGTCTTTATAAGCTTATTTAGCGTTTCGAAACTGTTTCTCCATTCTACGAGCGATCTTGCTTAGAATTCTGGCTGAAGTAGTTCACGAAACTGAGGACTGCCAGATCGACGAGCTACTTTTTGCGCAGCTGAAACTGGTTCGACGATGTCAACAGTGAAGTTAACCTTCGGCGGTACGAAATTTCTCACGGAGTTCGTCTTGATACAGTTAGGGAGAAGTAAGTATTGCCAGGTATACTAATTGAATCGATGTATGCGAACACGTCCGATGGCCAATACAATGTTTCAGAATTTGAGTGGACGATTTCGTTGGAACTTAAAGACACAAGATGGTTTGAGATGTTAGGAATGTGTAAAAATTTTATAAATGATCCCTTGAGTATAAATAAACGTTCACAAAAGAGATCGGTTTATTCATCAGTGTCGCGGGGCAAAAGGAACCACTGAAATTATAAAACCCTGTATTGGACAACGGACGTTTTCTCATACGTCGATTCAATTAATGTAGTGAGCCCTCCACCGGTCTCTACCCAAATTTTCATCAGTCCGAGTGGTAGACGATGATCTCATCAGTAACCAGTCATTTATGATCGGAAAATAAACATGCAAAGACACAGGAGTGGCATTTCATTCAAACTCATTATTATAAATGAAAATATAGCCTTGTGCAAAAAGCAAACGGATGCTTTTAGAAGGGTTGTAGATACAAGGAGGCGCAGAACCGCCCTTGCAGGATTCCTTCCCCTTGATTTTCCCAATCCGCATCCTTTCCAGTATGGTCCACAACAAAATTGCACGTTATCCCTCTCTCTGTTTCTTTAGAATTTTGCAGCTTCTCTCTCAAACTCTCCCACTCCCCCACAGATTGCAATCCAAACTTCAGGGTGGTCATTGTGTAAGTTATCACCTATACGCCAAGGAAAAGTGCCAAGGAAGGCTTTCAGACGGTTTTTTTGTCACCAAGGGGCTTAAGCAGGGATGTTGTCTGTCACCGACGCTGTTTAAGATATATCTAGAGCACGTTCTGAAGGAATGGAAAAGAAAGTGTGCCGGCATGGGCGTCCCTCTAAATGACCAAGAAACACTGTTCACGCTATGCTTTGCTGACGACCAGGTAGTCATAAGTCAAGATCACGATGACGCGGAGTATATGACCCGGAAGTTGGTGGAGGAGTACCGCAAATGGGGCCTCGAGGTTAGTGTCCGTAAGACAAAAAAGATGTCAGTCGGAGGCGCTCAGCAAAGCATAGTCCTGGAGGATGGTCAACATATAGAAAGTTGCGAACAATACAAGTACCTGGGGGTGAACCTGACTTCGGATGGGAAGCTGGATCAGGCCATTCGGGACCGTAATCTTCTAGGAAGGAAAGCCATCGCCATGCTTAATGGGATCCTTTGGGACCAAAGGATTTCCAAAGACAACAAGAAGAGGATTTATAACTCGGTTGTCAAGCCTATTATCACCTATGGCAGTGAAGTGTGGCAGTTGAAGAAGCGGACCCAAGAAATGCTCAAGGCGACCGAGATGGATTTCTGGCGAAGATCGGCTGGAATCTCGAGGAGAGAACGTGTCAGGAATGAACGTGTCCGAGAGATAATGGGCGTTGAGGGGACGATTGTGCACGATATCATGACCAAGCAATTGGTATGGTATGGGCATGTGCAGAGAATGGCTGATACCAGGTTGCCGAAGAAGGTGTTGGAGTGGGTCCCCCCAGGTAGGCGACGGAGAGGGCGTCCAGCCAAACGGTGGGTAGAGGGCATCCATGAAGAGATGGAGAGATGCCAGCTTCCGGAGGATCTCTACCATGACAGATTCCTGTGGAGAATAGGCGTCGCAGAGCGCCCTAGCGCGCCGTAAAAGCGGCTCATACGTACATACAAAGGTGTCGATAAATTCAATGGACGCATCTAAAATTACGGCTGTTCTAAAATCAACCCATTAGATTTCTCGTGTCTTTGTCGCGGTTGTTTTTAAAGTTATTTTGATACTAAGAATTCGCCTTTGCAGTAGTCTTGAAGATATAAAAATTTACATCATTACTCTGCCGTGCCAAGGAAAAACGCCGTATGAACCTTCAGGCGTTGCCAAATTTCTTTTAATAAGACACGAACTTCCTCGTAAACTTATAAATATTTCTCTTCCAATTTTTCAGATAATTTTGTTAGCGATTTCGCCTAAAGTTCTTGAAAATTTCAAGGAAAAATATTCGTAACTTTTCTCAAAAATAAACATTTTAACAAAGGAAATTTGGCAACTCTCGAATGTTCATACGGCGTTCTTCCTTAGCACGGCAGTACTGTAAGTGTATCTGAAACCCGTATCTTATTAATGTTCGAAGAAAATGTCTACCGAACCTGAAAGAGCATGCACCCCTCGGAAGAGTGTCGATTAAGAATAAGACATCAGAGTTATGGACAACTCATGTGGTGAATACTTCTAACATATGTTGACGTTTGGTAACTGGCTACATATTTATTACGCGTGAAATAGGAACTCGGTCGTTTGAGCAGTACACTTTCTTTCATAACGCGTTATGAAGTTCACCAGTCGTTGATGTAAGTATTCCTAATAATTAGGCATTACCGGCATCTACAGATGCGGTCTAGTTTTCGCAACTTTTACCCCGAGGAAACGTGTAAAATATTTTCATTTCGTTGGCAGTTTTCGCTTGTGAGTGGAACTTATCTTGACGTTTCGCCGAAGAAGCATCCTAGATGTCAAAAAGACGCGTTTTTTTTCTAAATTCTGGCCTAACTGCACCTATAGGTAACTTCAAATCCTATGAATGCTAATTCACCTGTGCGTGCAGTCAAGCCAAGTTTTGGACTTCTGATATCTTTTTTATGTAGATGCTAAAGCAGCATATTATCGGACGCATTTAAATCAAAATGAACAAATTCATTTTGACGCAAGACCTGTTATGTATGTGTTCCTCTGGATCTCAGGGCTCATATCAGAATGGATATAGTCAGGCCCGGATCAGCGCTTAGGGTCCCGGTATGCTGATCATTAGAGGCCCCAAATCTTCAACTTTAGGGGCTTTATGACACCGAAAATTCCAGTCATAAAGCCTCTTTAAACCTGTCTTCTAGACTCCAAAGACATAGAGCATGTAGAATAGAGGGGGGAGGGGGTCGCTAAAGGGGGCCCATGGGGTCGGATACCCGGGGTATATTAGAGCTTCCCGGCACCCCGGCTATTCCGGCCCTGCAGACTGATAGTTGAAATTGATGGACAAAGCGATAGACAATGAGGATATAAGGAGTATGGAACGATCCTATTGGTTTAAATGAGTGGTTCCCATAGACTGAGGGAGAAAATGATGGACTAACTGTAGGGTGTCTCGCGGGTTGCCGTTAGTCAGTGTATTATCTACCTTTTTTGTCGATTGCAACCACCCACTTCCACCAATAGGATCCCTCAGTTTCCCTTTTTTTTGTCTTTATCTGTGGCTTTGTCTATCAATTTCAACAATCAGTCCACTGGATAGAGTTATTTTTGAGTTAAATGCGACCTATTACCTTTGAGAAATTCGTGATTTTCTCAAACACACCAAAAATACTCTTCACAAGTTCATGCATTGGAACCTTCCTTTGACTGCACGGATAAAAAACTTCGTGCGTGGGACCTGTAGTTGAGGTCATATGGATCTCTGATGTTTCCGGATCACGTATCTAAAAACTTGAGGTCCAGCTGCCGAAGTTCAGGTCAGACATCTGAAGTACTTTGATATACACCGAAGGGTTTGGGTCACACATCTGAGGTACTCCGGTACATACCAAAGTGCCTCGACGTCTGACCCGAACTTCAGCAGCTCGACCTCAAGTTTTCGGATGCGTGATCAGAAAACTTCAGAGATCCATATGACCTCAACCTCGGGTCCCATGCACGAGGTTTTTTTCTTCGTGTGTAAAACAGACGAATCATGGTTTAGTTTGTTTAGATTGATATTCTGATAGTTCGTGACGACACGATAACACGGTCCATTTCTCCGAGACATCGGCGTTGAGTTTGGCGGGAAATTGTGAAAACTCACCATGCTTGCGAAGCGTCCCGGTGCCGGGGCGGAAATGGCATGAACACAACACTATCACTCTCGCGCACTCACTCGTCGGCGGCGGCGCTGCGGGTCGGCGCTTATCCTGTTGGCGGATCGGATCGCGGTCGGCGCGGCGCGCACTCCTTCACGCACTCTTGGGGTCGCGCACAAGTAGCGGTCCGGTTGGTCCGGTCGGCGGCGGTACACTGAACCGGCCCGGCGCGGCGCGCGCGCGCCGACACCGCGACCGGACCGCTCAAAAGTGGCTGGCCCACTTAACGGCGCACCGCGCCCGTCCTCCGCCGTCGCCGACGTAGCCAGATTTTGCGGTAAAATGTGGGTATTTCAATAGGGAAACTGCCTCTTTTACGGCATTATCTGGCAAGAATGATCGTTGCCACCGCTGTCGTCGCAACAGAGGAGCCTTACCGAAATTGAGTTGGCTAGGAGAGCCCTGGCACGTCTGCGCGGGTAAATTTTTGCACGAAATTGGGGAGGGGGGCACCTCTGCCTTAAATACGAAAATATTTAGATTCGGGGCAGTGACAAAAATAGGGGGACTCAGCAACGGTATCAACCAGGAAACGCTTTGTGCAATACTGTTGTGGTGAGGGAAAACGACGTAAGAGCATTCGGACGTTTCCACATTGTGTTTAATACAAAATGAATTATCTGAAGAACTTCTGTCAAACAAAACAAAACAATTAAATACTCTCCGAGTTTCTGAATTGTTACAATGAGCACATATATTTTTCCTTTACGTATGGTAAAAACCGGAGCAGAGAGGCAAGAATGCTGCGACACGTAATCCTAGTTTAACGGTGACTTTAGCGTCGCACGAGCCAGGGGTGGAAACGCATTGGAGTCATCTTTGCAGTGTGACGCGCCTTCCATTTGGCGAGCGGCAATATGTCTACACCCATGGTCGAATAGTTATCTCGCTACGCCTGTCGTAAATGAAATAAAAAATCGACGCCTGCAGAGAAAAGAGTTCTTATCTCGATTGCAACGCTGCAAATCTCTACTCATTTTTTATTTTTAATCAATTTTTATTTAATACAGCTACACACAGTTTTAATAGAACTTTCCGAGAAATTCCTGGAATGATTCGAAATAAAATCACAAAAAATTTCGACGCGATATTTCCGTTTGCTCTGTTTTCTTATTTAACAAACCAAAATTAATTTTACGCGAACCAAGTTTCAGAATCGCTGTATCGTTTAAACATCGTCCGAGTTGCTGAATCGTTGCAATTAAGATACTTTGTTATCCTTTAATTGCGGCAAAAACCGGGCAGGTACCGTCAGAAGAAATTACGCGTGGTCCTAGTTTTGCACCGATTTTAGTGTCGCGCAAGCCAGGGAGGGAGCGCGGTTGAGTGTCAGTGACCCTCATACTGTAATGCACTTTTAATCCAGCTAGCGGCAATGTGCCTATACTCGTAGTCGAATAGTTATCGCAAATAACCGTCGCAGTGCGTTTGGTGCAATGCGAGAAGTATTCACGCAGCCTTGTAGGCGCTAATACGCGTCGGACGCCAACCGTACTGTTTGGCGCAATGAGCGAAGTATTCCTGCAGTCTTGCAGGCGCTGACATGAGTTTGACGACACTCCAACCGCACCGTGTTTGCCGCGATTATTCGCGTTAGGATAATAGCGGCATCGACCAATGGGGCTTAAAAGGCCCATGTTGTGTTCCGACGCCGTATGAGCATTCCAACGTTGCTTCGTCTCTCCCGATAAAATATTTTTTCTGAGAAAAGTTAGGAAAGTTCTCAATGTTCGCTTTTTTAGATTGAACGGACCATTATACAAGTTTAGAATTTAAGCACTCTGATACATGATTCTTCAACAGAATTTCGTGCAGAACACGATTCGCGCAACGAAAACTACTGAAATCAACTTCTAGCTAAGCTATTACCGTTTCTATTGTCCATTGATTACGGGAACTGAATTCAAAGTGTGTACAGCTTGAGCTTAGCGTCAAGATTGATGTTGCCATATTTTCACATTTCTGAGACTTATGATAGTGACTTTTGGCGTGCAATTTAACCCTTGTAAATTATTATTTCTTCCATGAGCGGAAGGGTTGAATTTATTCATAAAAGACGTTATTACCACGGTTAGGAGTTAATGTAGGGTTAGGATATCCTCGTTGCCTATTGGTGTTCACACCGCGAGCCTGCAATCTTGGGATCGAAGGATTGCGGAAATTTTCCAGCTTTTTGTTTACTCATTTTTTTTTATTTATTTATTTAAATGAGAAAGAGGTTAACTTTATTGCTTGAAATATGCACAGATTATTCTGCCGAAGGAGAAGAAAAATGATGATAATTTTCAATAAATTGCGTTGAGTGCAGGGAGTCTGCTTCTGCACCGTCGCAAAAGGAGATCCGTGGCTTCGCACTTTGATCATCGCATTGTTTTTATCTCGTTCAAAGTTGATCAGTGAACCTCCTATTGTGCGAATATGGTTCATTTACGTAAAATTATGAGGGCCGCTTCCGCCGAAATCCAATCCGAAAATCCATCACCCACGGCGATTGTTATAACAACAACCACCTCGGGCAGCCGAACCATCAGCTGACCGGAAAAAAAGCGCCCGAAAATAACGATAAACCGTACATCTCCCGACGTAACGGGACGAACAACCGATTTTCCAAAGGGCGCAAGGGACGCGCGGCACGCCTCGCGATCCCTCTATTTTTCCCGCCATCGGGGGACCGGGACGGTCAAACTAGTACCACCCGCGCCCGAATCGGCCCAGCGGTCCCCGCTGAATTTTGACCCAAAGAATCAGGCTTACGTAATTATAAATTGCGTTACTTTATTTGTAAGGAAAAGTCCATCGCTGGATATGCGCAATGTGTGGTGAAGTGTGATGGAGGATATTAGGTTTTGAGTTCAGTGGAGCACATAATTCGAAAAATTTTCGGGATGGGTATTCATACATTCATTTTTAAAATAGAGAAGGGGGCAGAGGTAAAATTGTTTTCATTTTCGTCGTTAAAGGGGCAATCACCCTTGTAGTATAAACGAAAAATTGAAAGTTGTCTGCTATTTTGGATTCTCGCAGTAAAGCCCGTTGTTGGCTTCGCGCTTCGCTCGGCAGTGGATCGAATCGATAGGCGAGGTCGGACAAAATTTGGAAAATTTAAACGCTTTTAACTCCCTTTATACACAACTTAGAGGTCCTAAAAGTGTCCCATTGATTTTCTCGTGAATTTTTCTATTGTTAGCACCCCTTGAATTTTAAAAAGTGACGAAATAAACATCAATATTTGCAGTTTCAGTAAGAATTTCCGACCTCTCTAATTGACTCGATCTACTGTGCGCCACCGCGCCGCTGGTGAAGTGCTCTGTTGTAGTGTAGTGAGTGCCAGGACAGTCAAAACGCCTTCACTGTCGTGCGTATGCAACGCGGACATCCATGGGACCCGAATAGTTGTATCCAGGAGTTTATTTGCATGGTGTTCGATGCATTCAACTAAGGACGCTACGCTTGTTTCTTTCCTTCTTCAAACCTAAGTTTATCCACTTTTCATTGGTAAAAGTATCAGTGAGATACTATAGCGTTCATGCTTTACATTAGAACTGCATTTAGTCGACTTGAACTCCCAGAAATCACAATACAGTTTTATGTCTCCGTCTCTCTGAGTAGTCAAGAATTAAGGGTAAGAGAATTTGAAAATATACACAGTTTTTTACTACTATTCTTTAGATTCTGACAATACGTCTTGAAAAATTCATACCTACAGAGATGAGGGCTTTTTTTTACGAAACACGTTTTTTCCACAAATAATAAAACAACTAACTAACAAAAGATTTAGATTGATAAATTCATATGGATAAATTCATATGGATTTGAGTATTCTATTTGCTACTGAACATTGTTGATCTTGTTTTGACTTTGTTTATATATCTCCATCTATTGATGAAGGATATGGCTATCAAATTGTCATAAGTAAAATCAACAGTTTTATCAGTATATAAAAGTATCTTTAACTTCCAATTGGAAGGATTATAATTAAATAAAAATATGTTTAAGATGACAGTGTATGTGTGCGTATGGAGTGTTAGTGCAACGTTTTTTTAGGTTTTGATATTTTTCTCATGTTTTATCCTATCCTCTCCTTATAAAACAATCTGAATCGAACTGTGTGCAAAGAGCTTAACTTTTAAACACCGGCAAACTTTCTTGTCTGAATGAACAGGGAGAAATTGTGGAAGTTCTCATTCATGTTATTTGCATTCACCCCTTTATAGTTCGTACCCCTATACTTCCAAAAGAAGCAGAAGTTCGTTAAAACTTTAATCCAAATTAAAAATTGCCAACTTGGCTTTGACTTAAAGTTTTCAAAATAGGGAAGATCATTTAATACTAGTCGTCGGCAATTCTCTAATAGATAAAAAAAAAAATGTTTACGGAAGGGGAATAAAAACGAAATTATTACAATAGTTGACTTGCCTCCGTCACAATAAAGTTGCCCAGTTATAGAAAATGCTTCTCGTGTCAATAATGCTTTGAGCGCTCAGAAAAGAATCGGTGTGAATTCAGGTTGGGCGAGGGAGGTTGAGCTAACGCTACCTTATGCTGGACCGAGAAAGCATTACGCGCTAGATTTTGAACTCGTTACCGGCAGATGGCGTTGGCCGTTCCATACAGGCGGATATGGATCTCAGGGATCGAGGATGCTATTGGTTATGAAACGCACAGTTCCCGCTCTGCAGTGTCGGTGCTAAAGAGCGTTTATACGCCGAATTGAGATGTCGTTACATTGCTCATTACCGCAAATTGAGTGTTGAGTAAGCAGATGGAGTGGAGAATAGACGAACCACCGGGAAGCAGGTTAATCGCCAAGCTTATGAGGACAGACGGCCATGCTGTCAAATTTGAGCAAGATAACCTCATTCGGACCGCGTTAAACAGAAAGGAACCAAGCCACATCAGCTATTGCTAAATTTAATTGGGCAATTTGATTTTTTACATGAAAACTTTTGTGCGGATTTTCGTGCAAATTTCAATTAATTTTTTCCATAGCACGAACCAAATTCCTAAAAATTTTCAAAGGAGTCCGCACAAAAGTTCTCTCGTAAAAAATTAAATTGAACAGTGAAATTGGGCAACAGCTGATGTGGCTTGGTTCCTTTCTGTTAAACGCGGTCCATTTTAAAGAGACGTAGATGATAAAT